GGCTCCGTCCGGTCAGGTTCAGCTTGGGGCGAGCAGAGGAGGAGCGGGGTGGGGACAAAGAGGCCTGGGTTCGAGTTCAGCTTCAGCCCAGAGCTTTCTGGGGTGACTTTGGGCCAGTCAGTGCCAGTGCCCAACCCACTGTGGAGTCAGCAGAAGGGAATGGGAGAAGCCAGAGCAGCCGGCGTGCCAGCTTGAGTTGCTGAACCAAAGGGGTGGGATAACTAATAAAGAAAGTAATCTTTTCTTGACCACAGTATGGAAATGGTTTGCCCTTGCAAATCATTACCTCTGGGATGTCCTTTTCCTGGTGGTCTCCCACCAATCCTGGGCACAGTCTCTGAGGCTGCCCCCTGCCGAGCCAGGTGCAGGAAAGACCACGGCTGTCGTGAGGACCCGGCTGCTTCGTATCTTTGGTCCGGGGGAGAAAAGCTGCCGGGTCAACTGGGGGCCAGAAAGGCCCCCCTCAGTCTTCCCCAGGTTGCAGCAGAACGGATGTTGGAGGAAGGCGTGGGCATTCGGAATGGGGCAGCCCTGCCAGCTTCTTGCGGAGGAGGGACTGCTGGCGGCTCCTTTCCCCAAGGGTGTGAACCCCCTGAATTGCACTGGCCTGGTTGGGAGCAATTCCAGAGTCTGCTGCAGGAGTGGGAAGCTGAAGGGGAAAGAGGGGAGGGGGGACAAAGCAGGTTATTCATTACCTGGGAAACCGAAGAGGGGGCAAAGTTCAGGAAGGGGTGTTTGGGTTCACCTGGGTGGGACACTGGAGTTGGAGCTCTCGAAGTAATTTTGCAAGAGTTTCGAAACGATCTCTAAAACCGACGTTAAAACAAGTTGGATCTTTCAACGTCAAAAGTGTTTTGGAGTATCTGACTTCAGATCCTTGCGTGGGTTGAGTGGCCAAAATAGATGTTCACTGGGGAAAAGGTGGCAGAGGACATCACACAGGCTATGGCGTCATCACCTCAGGGAAGTCACAGTATGTGCGTGGTGAGGTCATGACGTGATGACATCACAACCCAAGGGGTGTGGATAAATGGCCCCTTCTAACGCTGCATTAAAAATAGTATTCTGCCAGGGTCAATAAGGCCCTTTGTTAGGATCCAGGCATTACTGGGGGGTGCAGAGGTGGAGGTTGATCTGAAAGGGAGTGATCACCCTGCAGTGATATTCATTCATGTGCCAGATTGGTGGTGTTTTTTTTAGAAAAATACTTTGAGGGGTATTGTGTGTGTGCGCGCACACCTCCAAGTCAGGCTTGATTCCTGGAGACTCCATAGACCAGTTTTTCTCAACTTCACAACTCTAAGATGTGTGGACTTCAACTCCTATGCTGGCTGGGGAATTCTGGGAGTTGAAGTCCACACATCTTAGAGTTGCGAAGGTTGAGAAACACTGCTGAAGACATTTCTTGGCAACATTTTCGAAAGTGTCCAAAGTCACCCAGATGGTTTTCAGCCTCTGGCAGGACTAGAACTCACCGTCTCCTGATTTCTAGGCCAGTGCCTTTAGCTGCGCCACCAAACCGGTTCTCTTTGAGGGGTGGGGCCTGTTCAGTTGATTGTAGAGGCAGTAGGCCATGGGGACAAAGGGGACAACGGATTGATTTCGCAGCCCTGTAAAACATAGGGTGACTTTCTGAACGTGAACAGCTAAGCAAGATTGGGCTTCTTTAGTGCTTGGATGGGAGACTACCAGGAGATCCCAGCCTGTGCAAATTGGAAAATCGAAGGGAACGGCAAGGCCAAGAAGACAGCATGAAGTGAGCAGATGCTGAGCTCAAAACAGAGAAAGTTTTTTCTCCCTTTTACGTGCCATGAGAGGTCCAACTTTCTTCGTGAGAAATAGTTGTATTGTTATAAAAAACAATTATGTCTGTCTTGGCACGTGAGGGAAGCATCTTAACACCCTAGTTGGATAATAATGATAAATTCTCTCATGATGCTAAAAGCCAGGGGCATTTGCAAGGGTCTCAAAGAAGAAGTTGAGATGGTGCCTGTGACCTGTCTTTCTTTTGCACACATCGATACGGTGAAAGCGGCCACATCCTTTGACACCTCCAAGAGGACGTCCTAAAACATACATTTGTGTGTGTCAGAATCTTTAATCGCATTTCAGCTGCCTCGTCTTTACATTCTGTCCCACCTTTGGAACCATTTTCCACACCTATCAAATCACGAGCCCGAGTATAAACCCTATCCAGAAGTTAGTGTTATATTTTAATCCGTTGAAGGTGATGGAGACATACAACATCTCTCTGAGCAGCATAGATTTGAAGCCCTCCTTTTGAAAAAGACAGCAGCGTAAGCAACAGCTTTGATTTTAAAAGCGTCCTTCCCGCTGGGGGCTCCTGAACGTTGCGCCTCTGCTTCACACCGATTTCCATTCTGCGTCTTTTCCAGGCCTGGCAGGATGCGGGACTTTCCCTTTCGACCACAAGTAACGAGGCTTGTAAACTGTTTGATGCTGCGTTGACTCAGGTGGGGACGAGCAAAAGGTTATCGGAGAGGCTGATGGACATAAAAGTTCTCATTGCTAGTGGTCAGTTGCAGAAATTGTGATGCGGGGAGGAGGAAGAGGAAGAATTGCAGAGTTTCGTGGTACCGTAAAGATAAGCACATTGATTCCAGTTTTCGTTTTTGCAGACTCAGCGCAGTTCAGATGCAGAAGCTGGTACAAGGGGGGGGGGCAGTGTCAAGATGCCCACTTCTTCTCTTCCTCCCACCTAAACTGAGATGCACAAACTGGCATCCTGAGATCAGTTCTATCTAGGTCAGAGGTGCACACATTCAGTGTATTTGGGAGGGGGTGAAATGTAAGCAGGTAGAAAGTGTGAAGTACCCCCATAAGAATTCCCTTTCTTGGTGGCCACACACAAAAGGAACTCAAACCAGACCGATCTGAGCGATATTCCAAACGGGGGGACTTTTTCAAGGACATTGCTGGTCAAAAGGCAGCTGTTCTTGAACAAACAAACTTATCACAGTCAGTTGCATTGAGCACAGTTCATTCAGGAGTGCCTGAATGGGGAGAAAGGTTGTATTCTCAGTCAGCATATGTGTTCATTACCCAATCAGAGAAAGGACACATTCTTGCCAATAGCTATTTCATTAATGATGTTTTAATGCTATTAGTTACTATGTTTGATCTGTTAGATTTTCCTTGGCCTTCATGATTCACAGGCCGTTCTTTCGTGCTTAGATTTCTTAAGCAACATAAAACATCATGCAGAAAAGCTGGTACCATAATATATTTATTAATCTGCAAGGCGTCACAAAATACTAACAGCATAGCTGTTTCTTGGCAAACCCAAAGAGGCTTGTGACGTCTCTAAGACAAATGGATTTTCTGTGCTGGGAGCCTTGGCAAATCAGGGTCCCCTTTCAGAAGAGGCCCTCTCGTGGGGTCAGGTGCAAATTCCTGTACATGTTGAACAAAATCCAAGTGAATAAGTGCACACTGAACTTTAGCGTGCATTTTGCGCAGAAATCCTGGAAGCAAATCCTGAAAGTGAAGTATATAATTTATCATAATTCTCATGGCATGGCTGCAAGGTCTTAATGTTGCTGGAATGGCTTTGTGAATGCAGTGGGAAGACATAGCGTTCGGGTAATGACTGAAGAAACAGAAGCCAAGCAATGTCCACTAGTAATCTTTTAATATGAGTAGAAATAAGGAAGGGGCTTAAGAATATTTTGTTGGATTTCCACATTTGCAAGAAGTTGCTTTGTTGCCCTGGGAAGCTTCCCCAGAAGGCTGTTTTGGGATTCTTAACCAACACAGTTCTTTTCATTGTTCCAGTATGTGACTTGGGCGAACGATCAGAGTCTCGGGGGCCTTGAAGGAACCCTTTCAAAACTACACGCTGCGGATCCTAGCTTTGGTAAGGAAGTCTTCAGTGGTGATCTGAGAAGGATCCAGGACAGGGAGTTGCCTGGAATTCTGGGGAAAGGGAATGGGGCAGGGGGGCTCCTCTCCTGAATTTCAAAACTTTGATATAAGATGGAGCAGGACCGCTGGACATCAGGGTGAAGGTCTGGGATCGCTTTTCCAGTGTAACAGCAGGAGTAAACTCTTGGCATGGAAAAGGTTGCCCCTCCCCGCTGCACATTAACCTTTCATTGTTTTACACACTTATTTGGGAGGAGGTTCTAGTTGACACATCTGGAATCACGCAGTGAGTGACTTTAGCGCAGCTTCCCTCGACCTCGTTCTGCCCAGAGTTTTCAACTTCTTCCTGACTCTCGGCTAGTCATACTGGGGATAAAGAGGGCCGGAGGAAAACATGTTTGAAAGTTTTAGGTTGGGAAAAGCTGCTTTGTTATAAAATGCCTCCGTGCAAGCCAAAGATTTCATTTGGACCACTGTTTGCTATCTTAATGCAATTCTGAACTGGTTCAAAACTCACCAATCAGGGAACAGCAAAGAGGCTGGAATGATAAAATGATTTATGTGAAGTTGAAGGTTGGTTACTGATTGCAATAAGAGTGGCACATGATGGAAGTAAAGCTCACTTCCTTCCCCAGATGCTATGAACAACTTGGTTTTGTTTCTGATTTAGTTGAGGGATATAATGACGATTGAGAACGTTTGTGGTGTGGATTGAGGAATTCATTGAGAGCAACTCTGATTTATCTGTGGCTTGCTTTTCAGAGTTTTGAAGCTGTATTTTGCTATGAAAGTTTGTGAGGACCTGACGAATAGGCTTATGAAGAAGATGTAGCAGTTGCTCTAGGGGCAAGAGCAGCAGGGGGCGGGGGAAGAAAACCAGTAAAACATGCCCTCTTTTATGTGGCTTTTCCATGGCTGGCTGGGGAATTCTGGGAGTTGGAGTCCACACACCTGAAAGTTGCTAAGATTGAGAAACACTGGTCTGCAGCCCTTCCCTTCCCTTCCCTTCCCTTCCCTCCCCTCTTCTTTCCCCTCCCCTTTCCTCCCCTTTCCTCCCCTTCCCATCTTCCTTCCCTCCTTCCTTCCTTCCTTCCCTCCCTCCCTCCCTCCCTCCCTCCTTCCTTCCTTCCTTCCTT